TGCCGGGTTCGATCCCGTCTGCGGGCCTTGCGCCTTGCGTTGGTTTCGACAGTGGTAACAAGAAAGCCGAGCGTCCAGTAGCAATGGCAAACTACTGGACGTAAATTTGCCTAGAAAAACCAAGGGGCTGGTTCTGCAACGTCATGTAAAGGATACGCAACAACCTTTTGTTTGTAAATGGGCAACATAGCAAACAGATTACACATCCCTAAACCCAGAATAAACTTGTACAAAACAAGCTTGGCGTACTCTGCAGCTTATCTGTAGAAACAACTTCCATAACCAGTCAAATATATCAACAACCCCTGTAAATACAAGTGGAAGCTATTTCAATATTATCTCATTACAGACAACATACGCCCTTAGAAGATAATAGTATCCTAAGTTTATTGTTGATTTTAACCCCTTTTGATTATACTTAGTATTATAATTGTTTTAAAGTGCAGGTATACTCAGAGTACATAGTAACAAAAATGTTGTTGATGATATTGATTATTTTTATTATCTGATACATGATGATAACTAATGCATGAATGGGATGTTGTATACATGCAATGAAAGCAGAAGGGCAGAATGTAAGATTGTACTGTGTGCCCGATTCTTAATCCTTTGAAAACAAAGTTCTTTTTTTTTTCGTTCTCTCTCTCTCTCTCTCTCTCTCTCTCTCTCTCTCTCTCTCTCTCTCTCTCTCTCTCTCTCTCTCACACACACACACATTCATAACTCCAGTTTGCTTACCTGTGCGTTCTATCCCTCGCATTGTCAGCCAAAAAACCCATCAAACATGAAAACCTACTCACGCAAGGCCCGGGTTATGATTACACGCATGATTCTTTCCTTCAACACAGGGATGAGCAAATTACCGGAACGGAAGAGCGAAGGTCACCGCGAATTAGAAGCATCTGAATGAAGACGGTAGTGCCAGAACAGACAGGGTCACATAGCTGTATGTAACACATGAATGGCTCGCAATGTTAAGGTGCCGGTAGACAACTGCTAGAGGCTCCGATACGGTGTAAAGTATTTGTAACGTAGTCAGGTTCTCCACGCCTTTAGGAGTGCTAGGCATATGGGGGCTAGACCTTTATTGTGTATACCAGTCATCACTTAGTGGATGATGCGGTCAGTCTTACGTGGGCCGCCTTGATTTTCCATAACTTTACCTAGTACCCGTTTAAGGCTGGAACGACCTAAAAGCCAAGGTCATTTTTTAAGAAAAAGGTCTTGCTCCGCTCGGATTGAAGCCACGACCTTCGAATTTGCAGGTGAGCTTTTTAGCCTCTACATCACGGTGGCTCTCAACCTTCCTAATGACATGACCCTTTAATACAGTTCCTCATGTTGTGGCGACCCTTTAATACAGTTCCTCCTGTTGTGGCGACCCTTTAATACAGTTCCTCATGTTGTGGCGAGCCTTTAATACAGTTCCTCCTGTTGTGGCGAGCCTTTAATACAATTCCTCATGTTGTGGCGAGCCTTTAATACAGCTCCTCCTGTTATGGCGACCCTTTAATACAATTCCTCATGTTGTGGCGAGCCTTTAATACAGTTCCTCATGTTGTGGCGAGCCTTTAATACAGTTCCTCATGTTGTGGCGAGCCTTTAATACAGTTCCTCATGTTGTGGCGAGCCTTTAATACAGTTCCTCCTGTTATGGCGAGCCTTTAATACAACTCCTCCTGTTATGGCGAGCCTTTAATACAGTTCCTCATGTTGTGGCGAGCCTTTAATACAATTCCTCCTGTTGTGGCGACCCTTTAATACAGCTCCTCCTGTTATGGCGACCCTTTAATACAATTCCTCATGTTATGGCGAGCCTTTAATACAGTTCCTCATGTTGTGGCGAGCCTTTAATACAGTTCCTCGTGTTGTGGCGAGCCTTTAATACAGTTCCTCATGTTGTGGCGACCCTTTAATACAGCTCCTCCTGTTATGGCGACCCTTTAATACAATTCCTCATGTTGTGGCGAGCCTTTAATACAATTCCTCCTGTTGTGGCGAGCCTTTAATACAATTCCTCATGTTGTGGCGAGCCTTTAATACAGTTCCTCATGTTGTGGCGACCCTTTAATACAGCTCCTCCTGTTATGGCGACCCTTTAATACAATTCCTCATGTTGTGGCGAGCCTTTAATACAGTTCCTCATGTTGTGGCGAGCCTTTAATACAGTTCCTCATGTTGTGGCGACCCTTTAATACAGTTCCTCATGTTGTGGCGACCCTTTAATACAGTTCCTCGTGTTGTGGCGACCCTTTAATACAGTTCCTCATGTTGTGGCGACCCTTTAATACAGTTCCTCATGTTGTGGCGACCCTTTAATACAGTTCCTCGTGTTGTGGCAACCCTTTAATTCAGTTCCTCATGTTGTGGCAACCCTTTAATACAGTTCCTCATGTTGTGGCGACCCTTTAATACAGTTCCTCGTGTTGTGGCGACCCTTTAATACAGTTCCTCATGTTGTGGCAACCCTTTAATACAGTTCCTCATGTTGTGGCGACCCTTTAATACAGTTCCTCATGTTGTGGCGACCCTTTAATACAGTTCCTCATGTTGTGGCGACCCTTTAATACAGTTCCTCATGTTGTGGCGAGCCTTTAATACAGTTCCTCATGTTGTGGCGAGCCTTTAATACAGTTCCTCATGTTGTGGCGACCCTTTAATACAGTTCCTCATGTTGTGGCGACCCTTTAATACAGTTCCTCATGTTGTGGCGACCCTTTAATACAGTTCCTCATGTTGTGGCGACCCTTTAATACATTTCCTCATATTGTGGCGACACCCATCCTTAAAATTATTATCTTTGCTACTTCATAACTTTAGTGAATATTTGGTTTCCGATGGTCTTTAGTGACCCCTGTGAAAAAGTCGATCGACCCACACACAAAAAATGGTCAGGACCACATGTTGATAACCGCTGTATTAGACTGTTACAGATTTAACAAAATATTATAAAATGGTGTGGGAGGGAGAGCATGTCGTAAGAGTCAAATAAGTAGGTTCTTTTTTCGAAGTCGAATCACGTCTGTCTGAAAGACAAGGAAACAAGAGCCCGCATACAAATGAACCAGATGTGTGAAGCAGGTGTTCACGCAAAACTGAAGTTCTGGTACAAGAGCAAAGCCAAGAAGTGGACGAACAACCAGAATTTTGAGCAGGGGTTTACAGTCGGTGAACCCGAAACAAGAGGTGATGTGGCCGGTTCAATTCCTCTTCCCCTACACACCAAAAAGTCCTATAACTGCTCATTTTATAGCTCTCCTTTCCCCCAATGCTGTTATTTTATAAATAAATAAAATATCAGATGCCAGAGAGGTTAAGAACTGTGTACAAAAGGTGGCCGAATGACCGTAGACCACGAGGCTGGCCAAGATAGAACATTTCCAGACAGACCTGCAAGCACGTGGTGTCACCAACAGGAAAGCGAAGACCAGCCAGAGAGATGATGGGGGCGGATAATATCTGCGGTAAAGAAAACATCAAGAGCTCGGAAGGTCGAAGAAGATGAATAACTTAAACGGACTGAACCACGGCCACTGTCCCCTGCCCTGGCCACTCTGCTATTGCAGATCCTAATGCACAGACACGCAAAGATTATGTTGAGGGGTAGGCACCGTACGATTTGGACAATACGTGGGTAGACATATTTTGTATATAATTGTTTCCCTGATTTCTTTTACTCCTTCTGATTTTTTCCTCTATTGATTCCTTTCGTTTGTTGATTCTTTCGTGTGTTAATTTATAAACACACACACACACACACACACACACACACACACACACAACATGTCAACTAGTGGTTACACAGTGAGTAACCAACCAAACATGCCAACAGTGAGCAGATGACGATATTAAAGTTTCTAGGATGGTTTCTAGGTTATAGCCCAGAACACAAGCCACCACGGCGCTCAACATTACATTTCTCTACAGACTAATGAATAATACTTTCTGTTTGTACACCCCTCTCCCCTCCCCTTTTTTTGTTTTCCGTTTTTCTTCTGGAATAGCGAACCAAAAGACTGACACATGGAGACTCAAAGAGCCACTATTGGGATGCAAATCCATCATAAACTTATTCAGTTTAACTGTATTAAATAGTAATATTGGGGTATCCTGTTGCTAACCAAGCAACCTGCAATCCGCTGTGGCTATGTGATCGCCATCGCTGAGTAATCAACAGCCGTATAAAGAAAGAAACGAATAACTAATCAAATTACCTGGGGAAGGAGGGGTGGGGGGAGACCACAAATATAATCAAAGTTACAATAAAACACACTACTTTATAATAAATAAAAATTATTGCTATGATCAAATGCCTTTTAACGAAATGAGAAAGCACATACGGTGTGCCATAGAAAGCTACCCACGAAAAGGGATCAGGCCGTGAATCACTCACGCTGAGTAACGGAAAGGAAACACGAAATACCTGCAGATCCTTGGTCTGCATTTTTTGTCGGCACGAGGTATTGTCTTTCTGAAATTCATAACATTCGTTTTAAGTTGTGGTTTACTTTACTATGACTGTGTGTGTTGTTGTTAATTATAAGAAAGAACATACAGACTTCTGTTTCGGGGAATTATCAGATAGAGTATAAAATATATACATATGTATATCTATACATAAATATATTTAAAAATATTTAATTCGAATGGTGCCATCAACGAACTATAAAGAGCTGACCTTTGACATTTTTCGTCTTTATAATTTTTAAAATTTCGATGAACTTGTGTATACTGAGTTGAAGATACATTTATTCTATTTGTAAAAATTATTAATTTAGTAGTATAAATTAAATAAGTATAATAGATCATAGTTTCTTGTGTTAATATTAAAATAAAGTAGCGCAAGTTCCTTCACTGCGAATCTACACAAGCTGTTGCTAGGTAACCAGGTCACACATGTCAATAACGGTGAGATTGTAAACAGTGTGTGTTTTCTCTTTGAGATTCCCTGTTGAACTCGAACGTAGCGCAGTATCTGTGAAAGCAAGTTCTTCCCGAAAATGGCAGTTCCTTTTTCAAACACAAAACTGCGTGTCCCCAAAGGCTTCCAAAACATCTTAGAATGTCTTGCCAGGGAGGTGCTTCGGTCGCAGCCTGACAACATTCATGAATTTGCAGCTGCTTATTTTGAAAGCTTGTTGAAACGTCGAGAAGGTAAGTAAGTGCTTGTTGTGGCGTGAATGTGTGGTGTTGTTTAATTGTTAGTGCTCAGCCGGCTACTAGTTCTTCTCTTCTTCCACTTGTATAGCCTATGCTGCATAGGAGGCCGTTTCCCAAATCAGCCATACTTTTTAATGACTTGCTCAAAATTGACTGGCTTTTGCAGACGAGCTGTTTTTCTGGATGGGGTTGCCACCGGGGCATATCTAGGGTGTCTGGCGTCCATGGCGGTAAAAAAAAAAAAAAAGGGGGGGGGAGGGCGGGAGTGTGATTTTTATGTGTGTGGTAATTTGCCTAAGCCATTGTTAAATTTTGGGGCTAATTTTAAAGACTTCATAGAGCATGATTAGAAACCAGTGTAACGCCTTCACAAAAGGGAAAGGACATATCTCTCTCTCTCTCTCTCTCTCTCACACACACACACACACGAAAGCACACACACACACACACATACACACACACATACACACATACACACACACACAAAAGACTAACCCCCTAATCAGCACTACTACATTGTGTGTGTGTGTGTGTGTGTGTGTGTAGGCTGAAGGACTTCTAACTTTCTTTAGCCCCCCCCCCCCCACACACACCCACACACACACACACACACACACACACAATGTAGTAGTGCTGATTAGGGGGTGAGTCTTTTGTGTGTGTGTGTGTGTGTGTGTGTGTGTGTGTGTAAGCTGAAGGACTTCTAACTTTCTTCAGCAACATGAAACTCATTGCGGTCTCTCCTGATTAGAAGTTGCTACTTTGAAAAAGAACTGAGTTTGGCTTCCCCCGGCCCGTTTTTTTTTCTGTCTTAAGTAAAGCACATGTCATTGGCCCTGCTTGCTGTACCCTAAGTGCGCCACTGGGTCTCCAGCAGCAAGCCAAACTCTACTCGTAGTCGATCTCCTTGTGATATGCTTAATGCGGTGAAGTTCTATGATTCTTTGCTTCCATTAATTACCGCAGTATATTACTCGCTGCGTCAACAAACAGTCTTTATTTATGAAGTGTCTTGAATTTAGTCGCAACCGTAGCAAACTGCTAAGTGGGACAGATTGTTGTCTAGTTCTTTGCTTTGATAGAAACTGGTAGATGTTTCCAGTGTGTGTACGCGCGTGAACAGTGTACATTGCTGTTTATTACAGAGCCTAGATATTCTACAAGAGATTATTAGTAATTTGTGTGTTGACATATGGTGAACTGACAGTTATTAGTCGATCTGAAACAAATAGTTTCAAGTTACGTCTAACTTAAGAACCGGAGACATCAAGCAGACGCTAAAACAGGTGTCTGTCTCATGACCAAGCTCAAAGCCATGCAAGGCTAGGACCGAAACTTCAATTAGAGAGACTATAAAGTTGTAAATGCATTATGCCTTAGCAAGCATGTTTATGACTCTGTGTGTGTGTGTGTGTGTGTGTGTGTGTGAGTGAGAGAGAGAGAGAGAGAGAGAGAGAGAGAGAGAGAGAGAGAGAGAGAGAGAGTAGCAATACGTGAATCAGTGTATAAATGAGTCAGTATGTAAGTGAAGGCATGTGTGTGTGTGTGTGTGTGTGTGTGTGTGTTGCGTGCATGCGTGCGTGCGTTATATTGGACAAACTCGCATGTATATAAGACTGTTCTGACATTTACACTGCCCGGCTCTCAGACTGGACACTGTCCGGCTCTCAGACTCGAAACTGCCCATCTCTCAGACTGAACACTGCCCGGCTCTCAGACTGGACACTGCCCGGCTCTCAGACTGGACACTGCCTGGCTCTCAGACTGAACACTGCCCGGCTCTCAGACTGAACACTGCCCGGCTCTCAGACTGAACACTTCCCGGCTCTCAGACTGGACACTGCCCGGCTCTCAGACTGGACACTGCCCAGCTCTCAGACTGGACACTGCCTGGCTCTCAGACTGGACACTGCCCGGCTCTCAGACTGGACACTGTACCGACAAGGGCACTAAAGGTAATCGTCTGGCATTGTGTTTCACAGTTCGCATCCTACTGGTCGTCTTGACTTCACCGGCGGTTTCCTGGTAGTGGCCAGTCGTGCTATATCGCCGCTTCGACTGTGGCTAAGGCGTTGCGAACGCGCTTCATAATGCCGGGGTGCCGTATTCGAACCCAGCTGCGGACGGTTTGTCATGCATTGGTTTCGATAGTAAGCAATGGCAAACTAATGAACGTAACCTATGCCTAGAATAACCACAACAGCCCCCCCCCACCCCCCCCCACCCCCCCCCCCCCCCCCACCCCAATGCTGACGTTGGTTCTGCAATGTCCTGTAAAGGATAAGCAACTAACAGCCGCCGCTCACTCTTTTCATTGCTATACACAAATGCATCATTTTACTTCTGTATTTACCATTACTGTTGACTGTTTATTACAATTATGCTCTTCGGTTTGGCGTCTCGCCGAGCACGTAACCCTTGATAAAAGTATTGACACTGAGAAAACAATGCTTACTAAATGTTTACGCCACTCGATTAAATTAAAAGCTGTAACGCGTGTGAGTGTCTGTCTGTCTGTCTGTCTGTCTGTCTACCTGCCTGCCTACCTACATGTCTGTCTGTCTGTCTGTCAGTCTGTCTGTTTATCTCAAATTCTGTTAGGAAGCTAAGCAGCCCCCTTTAATCAGGTATAGAACTAATGTTTAAGTATGTGTTTTTATTTTTACTCGAATGTATTTTTATATTCATTTACCATTCAGCGTTCTTTTATTATTATTATTATACTCTTAAACTATATTAAAAAGGTAAAGTAAAGGACTCTTTTCCACGCCTCCAGGCACACAGTGTATATAGGACGACCTATATTTTATAGACCAATGGCACTTTTATGAATGATATGGTCATGATCACGCCGGCCGCCTTTACTTCTTAGGATTGTACCTGGTACCCACTCAAGGCTGAGTCGACCTGGGAGCCGAGGTCTTTTTTTTTTAAAGCTGGCCCCTCTTAAACTATATTTATGCCGATTGAAACTTTCTTCGTGTCAGCGCGTCTGCATATATATGTACATATGTGTATATAATATGTATATAATATGTATATAATATGTATATGTGTATAATATATATAAATATATGAATTTAATATATATATGTGTGTGTGTGCGTGCGTGTTTGAAATAGTAAGTTCAGATTTACCTACTACCTGGACTTTTATGATATAACTATTCCATCCACCGCCTTTCAAATTCTTTACCCATCTTTTTGTTTACCTGTGTGTCGCGTGTGTCTATCTGTCTGACTGAACATACACTCGAGCTTCTAACTTTTTCATATTGACTCATTTCATATTAAAAATCAGACAGACAAATACACATGACTGAATGAGAAATATACTACACGAACTAATTTCGCCGGTGAGCACGCTTGATTCACCGCAGCCTTTTACAAGTCAGTCACATCTTCATCCATCACACCAAATGCCCTCCTCTTATTTTCACCTTCCAAAATATGGTATCTTCCTTGAAATCCCACACTTCCTTGATGGATTATGTAATTACCCATAATATTTCGTCTTTCTGTCCCTCCCTACTTTCCTTTATGCCGTCATATGGCACCTCCCGCCACCCGCTCCCCCTCCCTAACCTTTCTTTCTCATCTTGTATTTCCCTTGAACCAATCAATACAAATTCTCATCGAACACTGGCCGGTGATTGGACAGAATATACTCCTCGACCAGTGCAGAAAGGATTCTCGGATTTCCATGGCCTCTCTTGAAGATTGTGGCACTAGTTAGAGGGACTTGGCAAATGCGTGCAAATCTGTGCAGCTTAGGAACTGGCTCAACAGTAAATAAAGGCGTTTACAATTAAAGTCTGTTGATAGTTAGTACAGGAATACTTCTACAGTGGTTACTGCAGATTTTTACTGCATATTCAGGAGTTCACACGTGTGATATTTAATACAATCTTACAGTGCTATTTATTTCACTGAGTAAGATCAGCATTGGAACGTATGTATGGGTGTATCAAATGTTTGTGTGCCTAACTTTAATCTGTCCATCGTCCTAAGTGGAGCATAGGCGTCATGCTGTTTATTCTGTTACGATCTCGAATTGCGTCACGTCTTTTTAGACGTATTCGGCACTGTTTTAATTCTCGTCTCCACGTGTTTATTGATCTCACTAAAACTCATTTTAGCTTTTTGTATCCATGGATGACACTGCAATGAAATTATAGTTAGGTTATTTTCAAGTTCAGGAATTGTCACTGGTTGTCATAACATAAGCAACATGCGTTATGTCGATGACACCGTCTTGATAGCGACAAGTCAGAAAGAACTACAGGTATTTATAGATATACGGTGGTGGTAAAAAGGGAAATAATGGGCCTCAGTTAAATAATGGGAAGATGAAAGTAATATCAAAGAAAGAATTGTGCCTAACTTTACAATAAAACTCAAATCTGTTATTTTAGGACAAGTACAGAAATTTAAGTATCTAGGCATATGAATAACATCCGTTAGAAGATGTAACACAGGGAGAAAGAACAGAATATGGCAGGCCAAAACTGCACGTTATAAACTGAAGAACAATGTATACAATAAAACAATGTAATTGGAGGTTAGGAGAAGAGTTCTCGCATGCTACACACAGCCAGTTTCAACATACGGCTGTAAAACCTGGACAATTAATAAACAGGCCAACACTATTTTGAGGCCTCGGAGATGTCATTTTACAAAAGAATCTTTAGAATTCCTTGGACAGCTATATTTTTTAAAAGAAGTGGGTGCGCGAAGGCAACTTATCACAAACATCAGAAAGAGACAGACATCCTTTTTTGGTCATGTTATGAGAAGAGATAAAATGGAACATGTTGTGACAACTGGAAAGATCTGTGGAAAGAGAGACAGGGGAAGACAACGTGAGAAGATTATTGACAGCCTTTTGACATTGCATGGAGGAGTGTCAACACACGAACTGATACACGATGTTTCTGATCGCAGATTGACGAGACGCCTGTTCGCTCACGCCAGTCGTCAAGGCTCTTGATGATG